GCTATGGACGGCACTGGCCGCAGAGCGGTCTGGAGGAAAGCCCGGGCTCCCACTGGCCTCGCCTTCGGGGGTGCTGGCACCCGGCTGTACTGGGCAGACCGCGGTGAGTGTGTGCTGAGCCGGGGCACTGCTGGGCATAGTGGTGGTACAGGCACTCAGTCCGCAGGGCCAAGCCCGGCATGGCCCCCACAGCCCGGCATGGCCCCGAGGGGCAGCCCGGAGCCCTCTGTGCCCCCACATCTGATGTCCCTGTATCTGTGCCCTGCAGAGAGGGGCACCATCAGCAGCATCGAGCTGGACGGATCCCGCTTCCGGGTGGTGCGGGAAGGGCTGCACGGCCTCTCACTCTTTGCCATTGGAGAAGGCTTTCTGCTCTGGAGCACAACCTCAACCAACGGTGAGTCTGTTTGCTGTGCTTTGTCCAGCTCCTCCTACTGCACCAGGACACAGGGGTCTCTGCCAGTCCCTGTGGGGTGCAGGCTGCTCCTCCCGGGGGTGAAGGGCAGGGTGGGGGACCCCACCTCCCATCCCGGGCACCCCACCTCCCATTCCTTGTGGGAGGAGGTGGAGCAGTGCTGACCCCATATGTCTCCAGGCTCCAGCAAGATCTGGCACAGCCGGCTGGAGCGAGCCGAGAGCTGGTGGTTCCTGATGGAGGAGGAGTTGGTAGCCATGAGGATTTACAGCCCGTTCTCACAGGAAGGTAGGTCTGGGGCTGCCCCAGGCCGGGGCATCTGGGGGACTGAGCCGTGCCCTGTGGTGGCCATGCTAACGCATGCTGTTTTGGCAGGCACCAATGGTTGTGCGAAGAGCAACGGGGGCTGTGCCCAGCTCTGCCTGCCCAACCCTGCAGGGCGGCTGTGCCGCTGCTCCCCCGGCTACCACCTGGTGCATGGGGTGGCATGCACGCTGGCACTGCCCTGCCCAGCCCCGCTCCAGGCCTGCCCTGACCTCCAGAGCTGCATCTCTGGAGAGCAGGTCTGCGATGGGCGCCCTGACTGCGCTGACGGCTCCGATGAGTCTGACTGTGAGTGCCTGCCCGCAGCAGAGGCATGGAGGGGTCCTGGATGGGCACAGGGGGGTGGGCGGGGTCGTGGCTGGGCAAAGGGGGCCTGCCCCAGCCTCCCCCAGTTTGGGAAGAGGGGGGGTCTCACCTGGCTGTCTGCTTATCTATGCCCATCCCTCCAGGCCCCTCCGTGGAGGTGGGGACACAGGTCCCCGCAGTGGCACCATCAGGAATGTCCCGTGTGGAAGAACAGAAACCAGCCTTACCCACAGCTGCACCCAAGCCTTGGCAGCCTGGCCCCAGCCTTCCCGCAGCCCCTGGCCCCGGGGAGCATGGAGAGCCCTTCCTAGTACCCCCCAGCACGGAGGAGGTGCTGGGGGCTCTGCCATGCAGCAGTGAGACATGTAACCTGCGTGGGGACTGCGCCATCGAGGCTGGGCGAGTGACGTGCCACTGTGCCCTGGGCTATCGTGGCAACTACTGTGAGGAGGCAGAGGTGCAGCCCGTTGCAGGACCTATCGCCCTAGGGGTGGCCGTGCTCCTGCTGCTCGCTGCCGCTGCGGTGGGGGCCCTGGCCTACATGCGGAGGCGGGACAGGCGGAGGAGGTGAGCTCTGGGGCTGGGCTGGGTACAACTGGAGATGGAGAAGGAAGGACAGGATCTCCCTGCCCAGGGAGAGCATGGTGTCCTGGGCTATATGTAAAGCTCTGATCACTGGGGGTTGTGGCAGGATCTATTACTGGGGGTTGCGGCAGGACCTTGGGATCTGCCCCATCTCTAGGAGATGGCCATACCATCCTCAGTGTACTTTTTTCCTCCCCAGGACCTCAAGCACTGCCTCCACCCGGGTGCTGACCTTGTACCACCGTGAAAGTGACCCTGAGGAAGAGGATGAGGAGGAGGAAGAGCTTCCCCCCAAGAGTGATACCTTTGTGAACGAAGCTTACGATGGGAAAGAGGTGAGCAGCATCTGGAGCAGGGCCTGGTAGGGACCCCCCTGCCACCCTGGGGTGCCCCAAGCCCCCCCTTGGTATGCAGATCCCTCCCCAGGCCCAGTGCTGGCATGGTGCCCACTCTTGAGGCAAGCTCTGCCCTCCTGCTGGGGGAGAGGGGCAAGACCTGGGG